AACTCCGTCGTGTCCAAAGCCTTTACCGTAGACTGCAGAAGCTCGAGGCGGACCCAACGTTGTCACCCGACTGGCAGCAATTGACCACCGAATGGCAGGTCATAGGTGTAGCTACGTTTGCGGGACGAAGTTACAAGGACTGGTTGGCTACTTGGCCGGAGTTACCCAGCCAAGAGATGTTCTTTCCGACTCTCAATTACCTCGACCTTGCTTGCCAGCTGACCAAGCATTATGTCCAACATTTGGAATCCCAAGAAAGATCCAGGATTCAGGCTACGAAGAGATATGAGCGTCTCTATGATCAACGATGGGCAAGCAATTCTGGGGCCTTCCGCAAGATACGTCCACACAACCATCCATGCCTGACGATGCTGAAGATCACTCGCCAGTATGAAGTCACTTCCACTCATGGAGAGGGAACAGGTCTGATTACCTGCACTGTCCCCCATTTTCAGCACATCCATCCGCTGGCGGACTACTTCATAGGGAATGTACGCCTTCAACTCTGTGCCCAGCACGATGATGTGCTCGATTTTCTCCAAGAAGATGCAGATGTGACATTACCTGCTGGTCACCTCAGACACTCAGGAGGTTGCAGAGGAGCTGAATCGATATTGGTCCCAATTCTGGACACGAGATGACTCTACGACAGATTGGACTGAGTTTTCTGCTCTACTGCACCAGACACCACAAGTTCCAACCATGGATTCGGTCCTTACGTTGGAAGAATGGACACAAGCCGTCAGACATTTGAAGCTCAAAACTGCCAGAGGCATCTGTGGACGGTATGCCCAGGAGCTACGCGATCTCCCAGATTTAGCCTTGGAGGACTTGTACCACCTGTTCACGGCAACATTGCCTTCCATGCCATCTCATTTGATGCGTGCGCGGACGATTCCACTTGGAAAAACCTCGCACCCAGATAGTGCATCTTTGACGCGACCCATTACAACCCTGTCATTGTTATATAGATTGTGGGGCAGAGCAACTACTGTGAAGATCCTTCGACACTGGACGAAGCATTTTCCGTCCTCCGTGGTAGGATTTCTGCCGGCTCGCTCCCTGACGAATGCAATGATTGGCTTTCAATGGAAACTGGAACAGGCACATCTTGGGGACGATGTCTCATACGGAGGCCTCACCCTGGACCTCATCAAGGCTTTCAATCTCATTGGGAGAGAACCTGCTGCTGAAGCCACGCTACACTATGGTCTTCCTCCTGACTGGGTCCAATTTTGGTTCGCCTCCATTTCCTCCATGGATCGGGTGTGGGAAATTAATGGCAGCCGAAGGGGATACATGGTCCGTGGTAGCCATGCTGGCACTCTCCAACGTTTGGGTCCACCTGTTACAGGCCCAACCAACACCGGTGGCCCCTCTTTGCTAACAACCTTGGGTGGTCAGTTCAAGATGCCGCTGCTCATCAGGATGCTCTTGTCACCACCCTTGCATGGTCACAAGCCTTGCAACTTCAAGTGGATTGGAAGAAAACCTGGGTTTGGGCAACAGATGGCATACACTCTGACGCTTGGCATGTCTTGCGCAAAGCTTTTCCTGAACTACAAGATGTCCTCAAGGTCACTAATGCTCGTGAGCTTGGCTACATGATCGCGTACAACAAGTGTCAAAATAAGAAGACTTTCTTTTCTCGACATGCAGTGGCTTTGGAGCAATGCCGTCGAATTTCACGACTCCCGCATGCACTCTCGGTTAAAGGGAACCTGCTCCGTGCCCCACTATCACGACTGCTATATGGTACGGAGATCCATATGGTTTCCTTGGAGCATCTTCGACAGTTGCGTACTGCGATGGCCAGAGCGTTGCTAGGTCCGAAGACACAATCCAATCCATACATGGCCACTGCGGTGCTTCATAAAGGAATACTGGACCCACATTTCCAGCTTCTTTATCATGCTTTGCGCGCCATCCGTCGGTTTTTGTGGCTTCTCTTGGTCGAGGACAGACTCCGTTTCTTTCGACACGTGGTCCGTCACTCCGGCCAACCATGGAAGATCTATGGGCCGGCCGGTACCATTCGATATCATCTAGATTTCTTGGGCTGGACCTTGACCAAGGACGGAATCATTCTGACTGATGCTTTTGGTAAATTGTCCCTCCTGGAAAGTCCTCTGGACCACATGCGCCAAGAGCTTATCTTTGCATGGGAACGTCATCTCCAACTCCAACTTGGCTCCCGTAAAGATTGGACAGGGTTGCCCCAGCTGGATATTCCTACTACTGCTTCGCTTTTCACACAGTTGCCAGCAGATCGACAGGGGATTCTGGCAGGGAACTGACCGGTTCCTATCAGTTGCAACAGCGCAAAACTAAATGGGTAGAGGGATTGGATGAAAATTGTCCACTTTGTGGAGGTGAAGACACAGTTGTGCATCGCAGGTTACACTGCCCAGCACTTCAGAAAGCGAGAATACCACATCAAGATGTAGTACAGCAACTCCTTGAACAGGACATGGTGCTCACCAATCTGCCAGTCGTCTTTCGACACCCAGAGCACGTCTTCGACTTTTGGTGGAGCTACAAAATCCCACCGGCCACCATCACACAGCAAGCTCGCCAAACCATACAACTTGATCAACAACAAGGACTGTGTCCCTTGGTTTTCACAGATGGCTCTGCAGCTCCACCGGCTTGTCCTGAGGCCCGCAGAGCAGCCAGCGCTGCTGTCGTGTTGTCACGGAGACATGTTTCTTCAGAGGAACAGATCCATCGCCTGCTGCAATATTTTTCCATCATGAAGATATTCCGGCTGAATTTGAAACCATGCTACTGACTCCTACACATGGAGCACAAACCATTCCTCGCTCGGAGCTGTCTGTCGTGGTACAAGTTATTCAGTGCTCTAAGCAGGTGGAAATTGTCACTGACTCACAATATGTTATGGATATGCACCAAAGGTTGTTGACACAACCGGATGTTGCGGGACTCCAGGCTCTCCCGAACTTTGATCTGTTGTCTCGACTTCATACTCTACAACGTCAACCTGGGTATAATGTCACCCTTACAAAGGTGTCGTCACATAAACTGGCACCAGGTCCGCCAACCTGGCTTCGACTCCTCCAACTGGGCAATGAAGCAGCTGATCATGCAGCCAAGATGGCTAGAAGGCAATTGGTGGACACATGCATGCAGGTACCACTTTCACATCATATTGAAGAACGGCAACGAGTCACGGCTCAGTTCTCTCTTTGCTATGACCTTGGATGTCTTCGTAAGAACCTTTTGCAATCGACGGCTGAGCCGACCACTGCCACTCGGCCTTTAGACCCTGACCAGGTGCTAGATGACTCTGAGTTGCATGAGTTTCCCACTCGCCTCTGGCAGACGACGCTTTTGCGCTACAGTTTATGGGGAGAGGGATTTAGCGCTGGTATCATCTACTGGGCAACCCATCTTCAGTGGCCACGCGACAGCTTCCACACGGATAAACCGGACACTGTCACTGCTGGCGTCACCTGGATGGAGTTGCTCCTCGACTGTCAGTATACGCTTCAACTGCAGTGGCCTCACAGCACGGTGTGCTCAAAGCAGCCCCCTGTGCTTCGTCACCCAGGTCTTCATGGAGTAAACCAAGTCGATATCCCCTTCACCTGGAACCTCAGCAACTTTAGACGTGCACTTCGGCACCTTGAGGAGTTGCTACAAATTCAGTTGTTGCCAAAAGCTCGCGGCACGGTGAACTCGCTTTACAGGCTTGGTGCTCGGGGCCACAAAAAGGGCATACCATGGCGCCCACAGCTATGCAATCCCGCTGAAGTCGAAAAATCTCTCAGAGAATATTTTCGCCAGCATCCAAGCTGCACTCAGTTCCGTCATCAGCCTGATATGGTTCAGCTGCCTGCAAAATTCCAGGTTCATTGGCAACCTGATGAAAGGTCCTTTGATTCCAACATTGGAAAACTTAGGTTGGCTCGTTTCACCTCATGGAAACAGCGAGGCCGACCGCGCCCGCTGACTTTTGCACCTCCAACGTGAGGTTGCTATGCTCGCAGACAACGGACCTTCCTTGCCCTGTCAGCGGGGGGGGGGAGGACTCACAATCAGTGCGCCGGCCACCAAAACCTTTACTGGTTCTGGGACCCTCTCAGGACTCAGGACTCTTTCTCAAAGAAAGGAGGACGACGGGCAAAGATCCCCACCCTTGCCCTCTTCAGTGATGTAGGGTTTCCCTTCTCGAACAACTCCGTGATCGCTAGCAATGTGCCAGTGCCCAAGAGGCGCTGGACTTTGCGGTTGTGGGCTAAAATGCCTTGAGCCAAGATATGACCTCTTTGCAGAGATGAAGACCTCTATACGGGTCTTTGCAAGATCTCACACCAAGATCGATTGTTGTCAAGATTTTGGTAGGACATCCATAATCCTCCACAAGGTCGCGCCACAAGAATTTTGGACCCAAAAGCCAGCATTGACAAAAGCACTGCATAGCCCAGCATCGTCTCAGTGACACAGAGTTGTAAATATATAGATGTAAAAAGGAAAATCCCATAAATGTCCTTCGCAATGTCAAAGCGCCCGGCACGCAACCTTCACAGGAAGTAGTACAGTAGCAAATTACTTGGCAAGCGGCTGCCACACGTGCTTGGGTGTTGTGGAACAAGAGGCTGTCGCTTCCCTACTGCTCCTACTTCGCGGGTTTTGCAGGATTCTGTCACGAAATGGATCGAAATGGACGTATATGTAAAGGATTGTAAAGGCCTCGTTGTTGGTTTTGGATCGACCTTGACCATCAATTCTTGCCAGCTTGTTTTGTTTGCCCTTACGGGACAGCAAAACGGAAGAAAAGAAGGTCAATTTGCAAAAGGTGAAGTTGCGTAAGGGCCTAAGGGCTGAGTTTTCAATATATACAATTCTAGCGTTGTGCTTTATTGGTCTTATGATACAACATTTGTTCGTTCCCTAATTGCAGAGTGTCCTTTGCGTATCTTTGCGTACTAATATGTGGCTGTGCAAGTGTTGGGCCGCACGCATTTTGATTGTTTCAGGTGGTGCCAAAGGCAACTCCTTCGAGTTTTGCGGCGGCTGGTACGATTTCCCAAGGCCACAACCACAACCGCAAATCCAATGTGTCACAATGTTTCATACCTGTTTGCAAGTTTATTTATTCCTTGCTAGCCGCGGAATTCTCTCGATAGGTTCTGTAGAATGTTTTGCCGTGCTTTCTCATTCGCAGTGAGTCCTTTCAACAGCATTCTTTGTCGTTTGCCATTGTTGGTTTCTGCCTTTTTGTTTCCAGTGGACACCATCTGACACCAGCTACGTCCAGTATGCGCATGATTTCCTTGCCCTTAGGCTGAGGTCCTCTCCACCCACAACTTGTTTCGACAAGTGCCAGCGATAGATTGTTAGGGGTCTCATTCAAGTTAAAATCTTCCAACCCATCCAATGCACACGAGTTTTTCGTGAAAGGTGGCATAGCCAGGATTGTTTACACACAGGCAATCACAGGCATATATCATATATCAGTCAAAGGAAGTGCACGTTCCACACGAGGTGGCGCGTTGACCAACAGACAGAGACAAATTCCAAAAATACGGCCGCTGCACAAGAAGAAGTGAAGCCGAACTAGAGCGAAACTGCCAAAGACAAATACAATTTGAACACAAAAACAATGAACGCTCTAGGCAGCACATGCCTTTGGAAGACAAGTGAATGACTTTCCGAAGATGCACCTTGGTGCCATCAGTGCCCCATCAAACCCATGTGGCAACCCACAAGGGATGTGTTGCTTCATACTCACACTAACGTGGTGCCTTTGTGGGCCTCGAGCACACGATGTCATGGTGACTCTGGCCGGAAGAAAGCCGTTGCACTGTCTTGACCTAGTTTGGCACAAAAGTATTTCCGCAGCTAGTTGAAACAAAAAAGATTTGGGGTACCAGATTTTCTCTTCGCTGTTGATGGTTTGACATCCGACAGGCAGGACCCTTCAAGGAGCCGTTGCCATGGAAGGAGCTTGGCCTGGAGGACTATCCTGAGGCATGGTTAGCGGTGGCTAGCAGTGGTTTGCAGTATGTTCTTTCTACAATCACAGACCAGCCAAAACTACAAGATACAGTACTAAAAGGCAATTTCGTGACCTTGCATACTCGCACCTGGCCATGCCTTGCAAAGCTGTGAGCAATATTGAGCAATCAAATACAGTGTATTTATATATATATATATTATTTAATTCTATATATATATGTATTATATTCAGGTGGTTGTTAGGGGCACCATTGCCTGCAATGGCTTCCTACGTTCTGTTTTTCAGTACTTTTTAAGGCTTGTTTCTGTTGATGGAGTGGTGCATTCGCACAAAACGATAAGTGTACCCAAGTTTTTGAGAGCATGATCACATATGAACTTGGTGGCATAAGCTACCTTTCGCAGGAAAAGCACCTGCAAGGGTTGGGTGGGCGCGTGCGTGGGCGCGTCGATCGAGCCGTAGTTCATCAGGTTATGAGCCCAAGGCACGCTTGAAGTGTCTTGGGATAGAGCCATGAGCTCTGTGACCCAGCACCGCAGGCGAAAAGTGACCGCTGAAGAGCTGGAGCAAGGGCGCACAGAGATGCTGGCTGCACAAGCCAGGTTGGAAAGGGAAAGAGAAGAAGCTGAAGAGCTTCCCATCGAAGATGTCAAAGAGGGAAGTGATAGAAGGAAAAAAGAGAAAGAAAAGGAAAAGGACAAGGGCTCTCGTCCCGCCATCTCGCAGGGCACTCCTTCGACTTCGGCACCGGCTCCAACCACTGAGGACAGCCAGACTCGTGCATCGATCTCAGCTTCGACCAGGACACCGAATCCTGTCGCAGGCGCTCCGCTACCAGAACAAACACCGTCTCCAAGACAAGCAATCAAGGAGACGCATGCAGCTGGACCCTTGGTGAAGTCCGGCATGAGAGAAGGGAAGGGTGGAAAGGGAAGAGGTGAAAGAAGGGTTGAAGAAAGGGATGAAGAAGGTCCATCCCAAGGGCCCCAAGTCGTTTCCATGGCTACACCTCCTGAGCTTCAGAAGCCATTGTTTGATTAAGAGAAAAGCTGGAGGAGGGAAGAAAGAAAAGAAGAAGAAGAAGCAATGGAAGTGAAGAGCTTTGAAGAACGCCTTCGCTATGAAAGAATTGAAAAAGAAGAAATGAACCGATGTCTTCAACAGTTGATGAAGGAAAATCAACAGCTGCGAGATCAAACAGTACAAGTTCTCGCAGTCAACAAGAAGAAAGAAGAGCGAGAAGAACTCAATGCTCGTCGCCCGCAGACTGTTGACGTCATCCTCAAACTCCTCCAAGGAACGCAAGACTTCCAAAAGAAGATGGTGAAGTCGTCACATCGAGATGATCCTGGAGGTGAGGGGGAGGCAACACCTGAAGTGGTTCAAAGGGGTGTGGAATTGCCGAAGCTTCCAGAATGGCCACCTGAAACCGGACCCATCGACTTCTCCGATTGGTTGCTGGTGATATGCCCTGTGATGGGTGGCCTCAGTACAAGTTCAGAAGCTGCAGGGGCTTGGTATCAATCCCACATGAACAAGACCCCGCTGGGCCGGCTACAACACCATCCAAGTCTTCCACCATCCCTTAGTCAAAAGAAGTGGGCAAGACTGGAAAGGCGAGCATCCTCATTGCTTTTGGCACCCATCCCAGACAGCTTGAGAGAACAGGTCACGATCCTTATCAAGGGCATGTCACAATACCAACCAGGTGGGCTTGCAGAAAAGTCTGCCCCTGACCGCCCTAGAAAGTCCACAAGAAGCTCAGTCCATCGCCAGTGGTGTCGGCACTTTGAGGAGCATGGTTGAGATGGAAACGACGGGCGGAGGAATTGGGGGTGTCGATACCTGATGCCACAATCTTGGTCCGTGGACTTGGAAAACTCATGAGGAAATTGAGTGCAACCTATGCCGACCTCAACTTCCGGCTGCAGCTTACAAGGAACCAGCTGATGGTCGACGCGGTACCGACCCAAGAATCAGTCACCAAGTACTCCCATCACCTCTTGGCTGAGCTTGAGACCATGGGTCACCAAGCAAAGAAAAAGGATCCGATCGTTGAGCCACCAAAGATCAAGAAGTTTGAAGAACAGTCAAAAGACCCGAGGCAAAAGGAAGCAAAAGAAGGAGATTCCAAGGAGAAGGCCAAATGTCGGTTCTACCTCTTCGGACTCAGGTTGCAGGAGGGGAAAGAATTGTGGCTTCCACGAACAGAAGGACGAAAAGAAAAGGTGCTGGAATTGTGGAGGCACGGATCACATGTCCCCAGGATGCACAAGACCCTAAGAAAACAGGAGGAAAAGCGAAGGTCGTCAAGGCCGACAAGGAGAAGGGTCACAAAGAAGAAGTAAAGCCTGAAGAAGAAAACAAAGAAGCAGCAACCCCCACCGTCAAGGACCTGTTAGAAGAGGCAAGCAAGATGTTGAAGACCTTGAACAGCTCACCGTCTTCGTCTTCGGCCTCACCCACAAGTTCAGGGGGAGATGAAAGACAAGAAGTTGTCGAAAGATCGCAACAGCAGCTCAAGGCGTTCAGGCTGATGAGGCTGCAAAAAGGAGAAAAAGCGGGCTTGTTAGACAGTGGAGCAACACACCCGCTGCGACCTTCAAAAAGGGGAGAAAACAAAGACTCCTATGAAAGGGTGCAAGTGGCCTACTTAGCTGATGGTCAGACCACTTGGCTACCGATCTCGCCAGGCGGCGCCATGATTGCTGAAGGTCCCGACATTGAGCCGATCATCCCAATGAAACTCCTCACAAAGGATCTTGGCTGTTCCATTGCATGGTCAAAAGGCCACTTGGAAGTCACACGACATCCCAAACTGGGAGCTCTCCCGGTGGAAGATCATGAAGGGTGTCTTCAAGTACCAAAGAAATTGGCCATACAGTTGATCGAAGAGCTCGAACAAGTCAAAAGGGGGATGAAGTTTCAGGAGGTCGATGACTTCAAGGAAGAACTGAAAGATTTGGTTCAGACCCATCCTCTGTGCTGTCAGGTCTCCCTGAAGAAATCAAAAGTGAACTGGTTGCCAATCCAGGCCCATGGAACAGGCTCCCTGCAAATCGAAGGAAAAGAAAAGCGATGAAAAGAGATGGCTTTGTCGCGCACCTTTACTCAGGCCCAGAAAAAGGCTTCACCCTGGCTCGCGCATGGCAGCAAGCTGGAGGAAAAGACTCCGACCTGCTTGAAATTGACCTTCAACGAGGTCCAGCTCCGACATGTTCAAAAGCGACGGAGCCTATGCTGCATTGCTCACTGCAGTCCTGGAAGGCCAAGTCCGTGGGCAGGACAAGATCAGTCCTTCGACAGTATCCAGGCCCTGGACCTGAAGCTCCAAGGCCGATTCGAAGGTGGGATGGTGAAGAGTTCGGGATTCAAGAAGCGACCCCTGAAGAAAAGAACAAATTGAAGGAAGATGATGTGTTGTTGTGGAGGAGGGTGTTTTTGGGAATGGTCGCAACCTATCTCCGGGCAGCGCGTCAAGAAATTCACCAAGGTGGTCACCTGTCCCGCTACTTCCTTGCCGGTGCCTTCACTTAGGCTGTCCCCAAAGGTGTCAAAGAAAATCCGGAGCGAAGAAGAAGAAGATGAAGAAGAATATCCAATGATTGAAGCAGAACGGGAGGAAGACCCTCAAGATCTGGAAGAAAAGGATGAAGTTCCACAAGGAGAAACGTTTACCGATGTAGAAGAAAGGGAAGGAAGAGACCTCATGGACCTTGAAGATGATTTGGGTTCAGGGGGAGCTGATCCTGTCAAAGAATCAGCGCCAACAGCACCACCAGATGATGAAGTTTGCACATTCCCCCTGGCACACCCAATGTTGTCACAAAGGCCGCGAGGAAATGGTGCTCCGGCTTCGCATGGATGGCTATACAGTCAACCACATTCATGCTGATCAAGGCCATGAATTTGCAGGCCACTTCACAAGCTGGTGCAGGAAAAGAGGCATCATCCTCACGAAGACTGCAGGCGATGAATCTCAATCGAACGGTCGAGCTGAGTCGACTGTCAAACGGGTCAAAACCATGATCCGGGAGGCATTGCACCACGGTCAAAAGAATTCCAAATGGTGGCCCTGGGCAGCAAGGTATATCAATGAAGCAGGATCTACGAAACTCCAGCATTCCCCACGTTCATGGAGGAGGCGCTAGTGATATTGACTGGGACTAACAATGGAGACCGTGCACTACTTGGGCCCATCATCCGAAAACCATGGTCATTGGATTTGGAAGGAGGGGAAACACCAAGATTGACCAGGTGCATCGTGAAGAAAGTTGACGAAAACCCTCCGAGGCTCATTGGATTGGAAAGGGAGCTCTCGGACGGGCTCTCTTCGACGCCGTCTACGAGAAAAGACAACGATCAAGAAGATTCAAGGCCTGTTCAAAGATCAAGAAGAAAGAAAAGAAAAGGTCCAAAGGATGAAACGGTTTTTAGAAGAAGAAATGATGAAGATCCCAGAGGAAGATCCCCAGGTGGCGGTATGCTCCATCCTGGTGGTGGGAAAACTTCGACAGATGCTTGAAGAAGGACTTCAAGACGAGGAAGAGGAAATTCTTCAAACGAACATCATCTCGCCAAAAGAGGTGGCGGGAGAGTGGAAAAATGGAGGCCATCAGCCGAAAACGAAGTCCATTCGCTCCTGACAGAGAAACAAGCCCTCACCCCTTTGCCTGCTGACAAGGTTCGGGCATTCATGGAAGAGGCCAAAAAGAAGGGACTCCGTGTTGAGCTGATCCCTTCAAAACTCGTGCTCGCCAAGAAGCCCGGAAAGTATGGTGGAAAAAGGGAAGTTCGCTGGGTCGTTTGTGGAAACTTCGAGACTCGTCAGCCTGATGAAACCAACTGCTCAGGAGGCGCAGATGCCTCAGCGTTCAGGATCATGATCCTCCTGGCCTCACGCTTTCAGTGGGAGGGAACCAGTTTGGACGCGAAAACAGCATTTTGAAGCTGAACTTTGAGGAGGATGATCATTTCATCTTGGTACTCCCACCTGCCTTCTTTGTTGAGCGAGGCTTCATGGAGAAAAACACTTACTACCAGCCACAAAAGGCGGTCTACGGCCTTCGAAGGTCTCCTCGCCTTTGGGGGGAACACCGTGATGAGGCCATGAAGAATTTCATCATTGAAGTCAAAGAGGAAGGGAAAGACATCGAAAAGTTCCAACTGAAGCCACTGGAATCAGAACCAAACCTCTGGAAGGTCGTAAAAATGAATGATGAAAGTGAAAAGACAAGAGGCGTGTCGACGACCTCTTCATTACAGCGGAAAAGAAGTTGACCGATGCCATCCAGGCACATAGACCTGGACTACATCGAGCCCTCAAAGGATCACCAATGCACCGGTCAAGTTCCTTGGCATGGAAGACTCAAAAGAGCTCGATCCAACCTCCGGTCGCTTCAACTGGATGATCTCTCAGGCCACGTATGTTGAAGACCTGTTGAGCCGTGAGGCCGAGAAGTTGAAGACCCGAAAGATAGACCAGGCCAGCATGGAGCAGATCGAGTCAACGCCTTCACAGGCGGACATCAGAACTGCCCAAAGAGTCGTCGGCGAATTGCTGTGGTTGGTGACTCGCACGAGGCCGGACGTGATGTACTCCGTCTCAAGGCTCGGCTCCAACATCCTCAAGAATCCACAGGCTGTTGCTGAAGTCGGATCCCAAGCGAAGGGGTTCTTGCGGTCCACAAAAGACCTTGGCCTCAAATACAAGGTCGGTGAGGATCAAGAGATGGTGCTCAGCGTCTACACAGACGCCTCATATGCACCAAGCGCTGAAGAATCCCATGGCTGCTGTTTGGTGATGGTTGGCCAGAATCCCATCTTCTGGCGATGTGGCCGCCAAAGCACTGTCCACAGCGGAAGCAGAACTCAATGAGCTGATCGAGCGCATGGTTGCATAGGCGAGTCCATCGGGGTGATCTTCGATGAGATCGTCGGACGACAGACGGCAGAAGCTGGAGAACCAGACACCTTCGTCTCCGAGCGGCCTTCGCAAGACAGGCCATTCAACAAGGCCTGTGGGGAGTTGGACACACCCCCGGTGAAGAAATGGTCGCAGACATGGGCGCAAAAGCCCTCGCATCACCCAGGTTGGAAAGTCTCAAGAGTCTCAAACAGAAGATCGACATGTGTCGGGCGGGTAAGGTTGAAAAAGATGAAGAACACACAAGAAAATGAAAGAAAAGAGAAAGAAGTGAAGGAAGAAACCCGAAAGAAAGAAGAAGAAGAAGTGATCAATGGCATTGATGTCGAAAGAACTGCCACGATCCTGAAGCTCCTGGTGATGGCAACATCCATTACGGCATCAAGTTCTCAAGATGAAGAAGAAGCTCAAGGCATGCCGCTGGAAATGATGATGATGATGTACACAGCCTTCATTGTGGTGCTCACCACAATTTTTTGGTGGATTCTGAAGGAGGGAGTAAGGCCAAGGTGGTTGAGCTCACCAAGTCCCCACCACGAGTTGAAGGAAGGCTGAGAAGTATGAAGGTGAAAAGTGGAGAAAGAGGCCGTGAAGAGGAATCAGAAGAAGGAACACCTGAAGTTCAAATGGCGAGGGATCTGCCTTCACCAATGCAGTTGACCCCTTCAGCCAACTGTTCCACCACTTCCAGGAATGGGACCAGTCGTGGTTATGGGAAGGCCGTTCGAATGGTCTGAAGGCTGGATCCGACCACCGAATTGGGACCAGCTTCAAGAGCTCCTGCAAGGAAGGCGAAAAGCCAATCAAGAATTCGATAGGGAAGAATACATCCAAAGAGAAATCGACAGGGCTGCAGCATCAAGCTCAAACCAGCTCAGAAGGTCAACAGAAGCCACAAGACCACAGAACAAAGCACTGAACTAACCAAGCACTGGACTAACAACCCAAGATCCTCACCGCAAAGTATGGCAGAGCTTTTCACTGCCGTGAAACGTGTGATTATTTGCGGGCATCTCGCACTGGAGCTGTTCGCAGATCGGCGTGGTGTCCTGAATGCTCCCAAAAGGTGGGAAGGACATCAACGAGGACGATCTGGACGAATTCTTGGGGCTCCATGGCCCACAATGATCGAAGCTGTGGCCGATTGAGGCTGGAAGTCTGCCGCTACACTCCCTGCACTCGTTGTGCAGAGAGTGGAAGAAAGAGAAAGAGATGAAAACCCAAAAAACGGAATCAAGAGTAGAAGGGCAGTGTTGAGCCAGAGGCTCCAAAATTTGAAAGTGATGTCATCTTCCCCTCACGGAGAGATGAAGGGGAGTGTTGATGGAGTGGTGAGTTCAACGAGAAGTGTACCACAGTTTTTGAGAGCATGAGCACATATGAACTTGGTGGCATAAGCTGCCTTTCGAACTCGAGCGCAGGAAAAGCACCTGCAAGGGTTGGTTGGGCGCGCGCGTGGGCGCGTCGATCGAGCCATAGTTCATCAGTTTCAAGTCAGTCTTTTTCGGTGGAACCTTGTGGACGTAAGTGCCTTGACTCGGTTGGACTCTGGTTTAGTTTGTCTTGCCAAGATGGCTCTATGCTTCTTCCACAGTGAGGGTGAGAGTGAGTGAGAGTGATTGTGACTGAGAGTGGGTGTGAGTGAGGGTGAGAGTGAGAGTGAGTGAGATTGAGAGAGTGAGAGTGAGAGTGAGGGTGAGAGTGAGTGTGAGTGCGAGCGTGAGTGAGGGTGAGAGTGAGAGTGAGAACGAGAGTGAGAGAGTGAGCGTGAGAGTGTGAGAGTGGAAGTGAGTGTAAGAGTGAGAGTGAAAGTGAGTGAGTGTGAATGAGTGTGAGAGTGAGCGCCCTCCTTATTTATTTACAGCACCACAAAATCGTGGCACATGTCTAGTGGACCTGGGGCAGATGGTCGAAGCTTCACATGTACAATCGGTTTGGAAGCAGCATACTCAAGCTGTCCTGGTGAACTGATTGTTCAGGAACAACCGTGATATCCCCAACAGCCCAATTGGATAGGTTGCAGCGGCCGACTGACTAGGACAACCAACCAAAGATTTTCACGAACGTGCGATCGCCACAGTGGCATTCACGGTCCCCAACTTGCGGTCTTGATGACGGCTATCAGAAAAGATCAGAAAAGACTTTCCGAAAAGGTGCAGAGGAAGGAGGGAAGCAAATTCGATCGATGCCGGTGATCAATTGGGTAGCTTGTCCTGTCAAGACTAGGATCGCAAGTACCGACAAATCAGCTGCCATGCCCTGGAGGTCGTTTCAGATCCGATCGATTTGAGGAGACGAGATGACGCTGGAGCTGCATTTTTTTTGAGCATCATATAACACAAAAACATCTAAAACCTTCAGAAGATTCTAGCACCAATAGAACGAGCATGAACAAGCTTTGGTGGTTGTGACTGAGTACTAGGTTCTAGATTCTGCTTATCCGAGTTATCCAAGATATTGCACATGTCTATAGAGGACGTCCAAAAGGTGCGAAAACACTCATGGTGCTTCGGGCGCCCTTTGCTTCGTTGAACGAACTGGAGCAGAGTCAAGTTACTCAGTAAAACTGAAGCAGGACCATTGCAGAACGGCTGCAAGATGGAAGTTATAAGGAGACATTGCTTGCATTTGGTTTCGATTGATTCTCCAAAAGTGGGAACCAATGACATTGAACGATTGTGACTTTGAGGTGCCTCCAAACATGGAAGCTGGACATAGATTACTCGGGGTCTGACGACAATTCCGGCAGGATGAGGAGGGCTTTGTCAACCCGGACTTCTTCTGGCAGGAGAATTGGAATCAGGTCAATCGCGATGCGCTCGACGTTTTTGACAGCAGCTTCTTCTGGAAGGGCAAAAGGATGAAGCTAGGGCTTGTGTCATGTTGCTTTACAATCTGCTAGACAGTGGACAGGACATCACCCTATGCTGGGACAATTGCAAGATGTACTATGAGGATGAAGCTCAGCGAGTTTTTTTGGACTTGCAACCACCACATCATATTCATCTCTCGCAAGTACTCTTTAAAGTTCCGGTCCCCACGGAACATGTAAAGTACCAAAACTGCCAAGGCGTGGAAAACGATGCACTGCTTGGTCGTTCATTTCTTGATTTAGTTATGGTCAGTTTGATGTGATCGGGAGGTGTCACCGCATCGGGAGAGATTTGGAAGAGTAGTTCGTTGGAATAGAATCTGATAACCGGTAGTTGCGACATGGATCAAGGCTAAATCTATTTAATGGGCGACAAAAATATGTACTTTCCCGGCAAGAGATCCCAAACAGATTTAAGTTTTAGGTATATAGCAGAAGAACAAGGAGAGCGGGGGTGAATGAGCCACGCACACATGAGGGCACACATATGAGAACAATCAAATGAGGGCGCGCGCGCACACGCACACATGAGAGCACAGATATGAGAGAGCATGCGCGTGAGAGCACATATGTGGGGTTGCATTTTGAAACATGTCCACCTTATGTAGAGTTGGGATGTTCAACTTAGGCGAACTTCTGAAGCATACCCCAATAGTCAAACATCCTGGCCCGGGAACGGTAACAAAACATACATTCCCATATGAGAACACACATATGAAAGCACAGACTTTGCACACATATGCGAGTGCAGACATGAGGGAGCACGCAAGTGTGAGCAGACAAACAAGAGAGCACACATATGGGAGCACATGCATGAGAGCACACAAATGAGAGTGCAGAATTTGTGGGCGGCGCAGCATTTTGTAAGCCTCAAAGCGCAGACTTCGTGGCAGGCGCAGCACTTGGTGAACCTGGATGTGCAGATTTCGTGGCAGGCATACATGTTTGATTGTGTGCTACCAGCAGTTTGCGCAAGCCTGCGCAGTCGAAATGCACTTAGGAGATCTCGAGGGGCATGAACGCACCGCAATTAGCACCAGGCCCCCCTCAATCACCCCAGCCTTAACCACTAGTGTAGGAACCCCAACCACACAGGCTCGGGAACCAAGAAGCAAAATCGTTCAAGCACAAACTCAAAGTAGAACACAATGAGCGCCAAAAGACTCAACTTACAAGAGCAAAGCGAAAGGAAATCTTGTAATGGAACGCTGGACTTGTATCGACGTGCGTTTTGCATTTTTATAAGGTCGACGTAGGACTCGTCAACCCCCCCTTCAAGGTCAACAAGGCCTGGGATTGAAGGGATTGGGGACCACATCCCCTAATTTAGGTGATGATCTGATGACGGATGAGGAGATGAGGACCTGGACCTGATGATGGATGATGGTCGATGGGGTTCTGTGGGAATCACGAGAGTTTGAACCATGAGTAGTGGCGCAAGTTTGAGAAGAGATCAGATCGGATAGATCAGAGAGGCATGCAAATTGGACCATTGCATATCAGAGCATGAATGGGAGGTGGAGGCTATTTGTGGTGAGGGTGGATCCATGGACTGGATGGTCAGGTTGGTGGCCTGTGGAGAGTTGGTATGACCTTGTGTCCTATATGACAGCATGGACCAGAAGATATTGGATGCTGCCCAAAAAGAAATTAGGAATCAAAAACACAGATTTTTTTAGCCACTCTCACTCACTTGCACTCTCACTCTTACACTCACTCTCACTCTCACTGTAACTCTCACTCTCACTCACTCGCTCACTCACTCACTCCCTCCCTCACTCACTCACACTCACACTCACTCTCCCCCGCACTCACACTCCCTCACTCACTCACTCTCTCTCTCTCACTTCTCACTCTCACTCTCACTCACTCACACTCTTTCTCTTCTCACTCACTCTCACTCACACTCACTCTCACTCACACACACTCACACTCACTCTCACTCACTCACACTCTCACTCTCAATCACTCACATTCACACACTCACAGCCACACGCACACACCACCACCGCCACCATGACGATCTGCGCCTTCATCACCGCCATCACCGCTCTGCGCCCCAATGCGTCTAGATCTTTAGACTTTTCGCTGCTACACATCTAGAGCTCCGGGGCAAAAATTTGACGTAGTGGTTGGAAGTTGGACTTGAGCGATTCATACCTTCGAATCATGCCCCTGAATCATACCCCTCAAAAAGTGGGTGTAAGAATTAGGTGTTAAGGTGAAGCTTTTGGTTGGTCTTTGTGCGTTGTAGATGCCTGTGAGCCAATGGTGCATGACGTTTGCAATTGTGCGACCCACCGGCGCCCAATTTGGCCAAAAGAGCAAATGCTCATATCCCAGAGGCTCATCTAGCCTGAACCGGGTGTCCTCCAAATAGCAAGTGGGTGTCCAAATTTCTACCCGTCCGGTAAACTCCAAAGCACAAGCTGGCAGTTTTTCCACGGACTCCCGGCATTTGCTGCAATTTGCAAACAATCAGCACTTGCACGCATCACGTGGCATCCCATTCAAAACACTTGCACTTGTCCTAAAGCCTCTCCAGAAGCTTAAAGCTTCAAGAAGCACACACGACAAACTCAAACAGGTTGTGGCTGCCAGTAAACTGGCACACCGGCTGCCAGCTAGCTGGCAGTCAAATAGCCTACCAAGGTTAAGCGCACCCAGCTCAAAACCCCGGCCCTTCTGCTTTGCTCTTTGTTGGAAACTGAGGTGCCCTTACTGAACCAACACAACTTAACAGTAAAACCGTGACAAGTCCTTTACGCCAAACAGGTTTTGCAATACTTAAATACTCCAAGTGCAAAGCGGTGGAACCCTAGGTATACCAAGTGTTCGAGGTTTTCCTAGCCAAAAAGATTTGGCTGGCTAAATTTTGACGGGTTTTCCTGGCCAAATGGATTTGGCTGGTCAAGTTGCGACGGGTTTTTCACGGCCAAATGGATTTGGCTGGTCAAATTGCGACGGTTTTTTAAAAGAACCCATCACATTTTTGGTGGCTGGCTGAGTGGTTTTAGCCAGAAAACCAATCACGATCTGGAAGCTTGACTGGCCCCAGAAAAGCGATGGGGCTTTCAAAAAACCCGTCACAATGCCATAGGTTTTGGAAAAACCCATCACGATTTGAAGTTCGGAGTGAGCTGGAAAGTCTGACGGGTTTCCATTTTCCTTACTTAATTACGACGGGTTTTTCAAAAAACCCATCATATTTTAGTGTTGGGGACCGCGTCTGAAACGTGACGGGCTTTCCTGGCCAAGTCAATTTGGCTGGTAAAATTGCGACGGGTTTTCCGTTCATTCATTCCTGCAAGGCCCCATTGATCGAGCTTGGCCGGGCACAAGGCACTGAAGCTTTTGGGCGCACATTGCACCTACAAGCTTCAGGCGCTTGCATCCGACTGCTCCAAGCATAATCTTCCAATCCAAGATCGTTGAGCCTCCGCTCCTGAGCACTAATACAAGGTAAATGTCAAGCCGAGAAAGTTTCACGCGTCCAAGCTGGGCATATTGAGCAATCAATATATAAGCGCAGTGGTTGGTGCTTCCAGCTGGCTCAGGCAACCCTCGGGGCCGCACAGACCTACATCAACACATGACTCCGCAGAGGGTCGAGATCTGGCAAATGGTATGAAGTACGAGTTGGACCTGTTGAAGTTGCAACGTCCTGGTCAAAGTCAAGCCTTTCTTTTTGCAGCTCCGACAGGTCCACGTTCTCCATCCAAGTGCTTTAAAAATCTTGACGCGAAAGCTCTATCAAAATCGCACAACTGTTGAAATAGCGGTGCTTGGCTGTGGCGCCAGAAGCGGTGGATGATGTTCGTGGTTGTGAGGAAGGAGATGGTCTCTGCGGACTCTTCACACGTAACGTCTCCATCATCATCATATCTCCACGCTGGCGTGGCTGCCCACTACGGAGGAATCTAAATTCTTGAAGTTCCATGACTGTATATATAGGTCAGTCTTGCGTGTATCAAGCGCATGTGGATGTTGCCTCATTCTTAGAGCTCTCTGCTCCCAAGCAGGACCAAATAAACTACATGGCTGTGTTACATGCTTTTAACGGAGCCAGCAAGAAACTTGACAACAAGGTACTATTCCAAATCAAACACCCACTTGCTATTTGGAAGACACCCGGCTCAAGCTAGATGAGCGTCCAGGTATAGCAATGTTTCCATTTGCTCTCTCTCCCTTGGGAAGAAGAGCCAAAGGACACTTTTCTTCCTGCGGAGTGGTGGTGGGTGTCCATGCTGCATCGTTTTTGTGTGATTGCTCTTGGTTCTATGAGTGCCCCTCCGTTTTTTTTGTTGCACGCATGTGTTTGTGTTGTTTTCGTTTTGTACTGTTTGTTGTTTCCCTGTTTGTATTGATTTTTACTTAATATATTTTTATAATGATTGACTGTTTATTGTTTTACTTCTTAGCCGGCTGGTTCACGAAGCAGTCCACAGGACGACCACGAAATCGAAGCGGTCCGGATGGCTGAGGACAAAGAAACCCCGAAATGTTCATCATGCGAAGGGTGCGTGGAACCAAGCAACCAGTCAGCCAACGAGTTTTAACCATCTACAGGAAAGACATGTGTTGGGGAATGTCATGCTAGGGATTCGTGATTGAAACTAACAGCGTGCGTTGAACTTGACCAAATGAGCCAGCTGCCATACCACTCCAAGTTTCCACGAACCCAGGAGATGAAAGTGGAGTCGGAGAAACTGGAAGACGAGTTCTGGCACGATCTCGAAAAGCTCGGGCGCTTACCGAGGGCTGCGAGCTGGGCTTGCCTCAAGGATTGACCTTTGTGCGATTTTGCCACAGGCAGCTGCACGCGCTTTGCAGAACGCCTCGTGTTAGCAACAGCATTTTCGTTTGCGCCGCCGGTGTGCGCAGCGCAAAGCCAGTTGCGCGCGCAGGAAGGCCACAGGCAGCTGCGCATGCCGCATGCCTAGCAGGACGTTTCTGCGCAGGATTGCAATGTTTGTGTGGCTTGTGCTCGGTTGCAGAGCCTCCTTTGCACACAAATGAAATGTTGGATGCGTCGCCGATGCCACAACCAATTGCATGTACTTAGCAGGGTGTTTCTGCAACTGCAACAGTTTGTTCGCTCGTAGCGTGGCAATTTGTTGTTGCGGTTTGTGTTGTGCCTCCTGCCTCCATTGCGGAGTCTTCATTCTACACATCATAAAACTATATTTTTTTGCGCAGCAATGCCACAAGCGGTTGCGCGCACCTAGTTTTTGCACTTGTATAGTGTGGCTGATGTCGCTGTTACGAGGCAGTCTTTGTTTGTTTGCCTCTCCCCGAATACACGCAAGGATGGAATTCCGATGTTCAAGCCTTGTAGACTCGTAGACAAAGTGCGCCACTTGCAGCCCAGACAGCACAGCGCCCAAGGTCCCCGACAGGGTTCCACGAAATTCCGGTCAGAAATCACGACAGCAAGTGCGAAGTGGGCCAGGGGCCCTCAAATTAGGATGTCTGGGAAAAGAGATCAATATTAATAATAATGTTGCATCTCGATTTAGAAACCGCTTCAGGTTTGAGGCGTCTTTGGATCGTGTGAAAGGGTCGGGCTCTTAGATTTAAATTGTTGTCGCTTGCTTCATTTGTAGAACCGCAAGGGCCTGAAGCGAATGTTTGCAAAGAACCAGCTCCTCATTGGATCTCAGGATCAAGACGTTTGTTTTGCTGATGAACTGAAGATGAGGCATAGTGGATAGATAAGATGACGCGTCTTGAATGTGGCTAAGTGGTTGAAAGACACCGCGGCAAAGAAAGCAAGGGCCCATCTGAAAACCACAACTGTCATAGAGCGATTGGGCGCCACTAAACTTGGTGAGTTTTGTTCTTCTATCTATGCTTTATCCGGTTGAGTCAGCGTGGAGGGCAAACGGTGATGTGGTTTACAGTAATGGGTAGGAAGCTGGCCCATGCGCAGCAACAAAATGTAACCCACATGTTGAACCAAATTTCAGCTGGGCATCTTGTTCGGTTTTACTAAACTTGCAAAATCTAAGGGTATATGATGGTTATGGAGTATGAGGATGATACGCAGCACTCAGATGTGCCGCCTTATTCCTTAAGCCAAATCAGATCAACCGTTTAGGCTGGTCAATAGAACCTGTGTTTGGTTAGTTCATCGCCTCAATTGAAAATGGTGTTGCTCGAAAAATGACAAATAGAGCGCTCGTTGATTCACATTCCCCCTGACCGCATCGCAGTGACCATGCGACGCATCCGAGAGAATGGGAGCAACCTATTCCCCAGACGTTCCCACATATTCATCCTGAAGAGGAGGCTTCCACATCTCGAGCTGACGCCTGCCTATACTAACTTGCTAAAGGGAGCCTGTATACGTCCGCAACACTGCCGCCAGGACAGTTTGTGGTTCTTTGTGAGCGAGGCCAGCTGCCAGCAACGCAACTCTTCATGTTGCTTGCTGAGATGGTCTTCATTCACAAGGAGAACGGCGTTCGGGCATTCTTCGACTTGCTCTTCTCCCACAGGGGACACGAATTTCTTCCGCCCAAATCCTCTTGCGGTGCCAATGCTCTCACAATTCTTGGTGCTGTTGCTCACCTTGCCGCCATTACTTACCTTGCAGCTGGCAGGACGGCATCTCTTCAGGCTCTTCACCATCAACCCTCCTCTTCTCGTTATCAATGATGTGGCGCAAACAAAAGTGAAATTCCTCCCCCAGGCCGTACAGCTGTAAGGCCTGGCCTTGACTTTTCGAAAAGCAACGACACCACACAGCAAGAGGATTGGAATCCATGGGCTGTTTCCCCTTAGGCCTAGTCGATCGGGCCCCAAGTCAAACCGCTGAAGCTCCACCAGTTCCTTGTCAGCTTCTTCTTAAGAAACTAGAGCCGCCCGGATATAAAGCAGATGGAAAGCGGTCCTGATTTGCGCCAGCGTTTTAACTTCGCCAGCACAGCAAGGAGCCAAATCTGAGTATGGGCTTTGTTGGAATCCTGACCGATGGGCGCAACGTTCAGGTGCGTGCCGCACTACACATTGGCCAGAAGGAGTGACCCATGTTCGTGAAGCAAAAGGCGATGCTGCTCCAACTTAGCCATGGCCCTTTTGGATCGTCTCCTCCAGTTATTTGAGTTATTTGGCGCTGTTGACACCATGGCTGGATTACTTGGACATGCCTGGGAGCCATTCTTGGACATATTCTGCAGTACCGTCGGTTGTTGAGAAGAGCCTAGCCCTCAGCCCGTGTAAGACGAGCGACAAACGACTTCTCTCTGTCAGCAGCGGAAAAATCTGCGCTCCAATCATCCGACATCTCGCGGACTAGCGCCTCAAGAAGCTACTAGGAACAAGTGCATCGCTACTAGGAACAAGTGCCTTACTAGTAACAAGGCAGCGCCTCAAGAAGCGAACTACCACAGTCGCAACCATGGCCTTGCCACGCCGTTCCAGGCAACCCGTCTCGAACCCGCACAAATCAACTGATCGCAAAGTGGGAAGCCGTGTTGCCCAGCCGCCTTTGAGGAAGAACCCCACGCAAATCTGGAAGGCCGGCGCAAATGATCCTTCCAAGCATTTCGATCCAGCTTATCCACTCTTGGGGAATCCTCCAAATCTGGGGCCCAAGCTGCCCAAGTCCTTGACGTTTCCATTCTGCACTTCATCATCCTCCACCAAGCTCGTTCGTTCTCCTCGAAGACCATGAAGCTCCATGGCATCTCGAAGTCTCCTTGGTCTTAAGGGTCCCCAAGCGAACGGGTCTACAGGGTGGACCTCCAATGATAGCGAGGGTTTGACACATCGAAGCCAGCCTCCACAGGAAACCTCACACGTTTGCATTGCGCACACTTCTAGCTCAATGGTTCACCGTTAACTTCCCGCCTCCTCATCCTGCCCCTTCAGATTCGCAAGCACCCCGGACAGCATCTCCCGAAAACGTTCCCTCCAGCCCCCTTCTTCGCCTTTGTTTTTCTGATCGAGAGGCTCGCCAACTCGCACCATGACCGGGACTCCACCAGCCACGGATGTCATTTTATATACTTTTTCCACCACAACAAGTGATGGGGTATTATATACCTTATCCAGAAGCAGCAACAAGATAATGTGATCACGATTGTGGTCCGTGGTCCAGCATTGTGACCCATCCTTGCTTTTGCTTGCAAAAATGGTGCCCAGCATCGGCTGACAAAAGTTGATCCACCGATCTTTCCAAGAGCCTCTTCCTCCGCCCTTTGAGCCCACCAGATGTTATAGATGGTATACGTATAGGCTTATAGGGCAGCCACAGGCACTGATTGCACTGCACTCTCGCCCTGATCTCCTCCTCGATCAACGCGTCAAGCTGGTCATCTGCCTGCCCCAACTCCAGCGGTTGAGCTGCCTTTGCTCGCGGAGTTTCTTGCCTCTGGCTTGTAATCTGAGGTTATGAAGGTTCACACAGCATTCAGATGCGTCGCATTATATATTTCTTGAACTAAATCAGATCGCCTGACGATCCCTGCGTTTCCTTATCCCTGAGTTTAAGTCATTTCATACCGACACAAACACACAAGCCCGACTTAGCATATTGTCAATTCACAAATCAGGTTGTAGGAGCAATCCCACAGAACGTCCATTTCGCTGACCCTCTCGTTTTTCAAAGCATGTCGCGAACCTACTCATTTCCAAGGCAGGCCCTCAGCAAAGTCGCAGCTGTGGCAGACGTTGCGAAAGGTGCCATGAAGGAGAATCCAAATGACAATGTGTTCGCAACCGTGTTGTGTTGTTTTGGGTTGCCTAGCTTGCTGAAGTTGTTTTGCAAGTTTAGGCGGGTATGGTGAGGCATCCTTGTGCATAACGTGCATTCTTGGCATGAACAGGATCGGACATTCTCTTGGTCATTTTGAACTCTCCACTTACCCTTGGCGCCTTGGGGTGCTTTATTGCCTCACTGGCCAGGACGCAGCAACGCTGGCAGTGGAAGAGTCCAAAAAACTAGCAAAGCGTGAGGGGCTCAGAGTTTCAGAGTGCAATGTTTCTTGAGTATTATCCATGTAGGCTCAGTTAGCGCCAGGGTCACAATGCAGTATAGAAGCAGGTTGTGTTCTGGTTCGCAGTTTGTCAAGACAGAGGTTGAAGAAGTGTCCGTCTTACGTCCAGTGCTGTTATCTCGCTGTGACATTGGAACCTGAGTGGCTGGGTGAACGATACAGTACCTAACATACTTGGACTGACAGAGCCAGAAAAGAAAGAACATCGACCTGTATAGATACCGTGTGTCGCTTTCGAGGTGTAGTGGACGTGCCCCCTGGACCGAGGCACACAAGAATGGTGGCATGCCCGGCCTGTTGGCTATCAAGCGGAGCCACACGGAGCCACCAGATACAGACAAGCCGAAGATAGATTGCACCAGGATTATGTTTGAACTGTCATGACATGAAAGGAAAATGCCTTGTCATGGATAGCCTGGATAGCACTTGCTTTTAGCGAGGAGGTTTCAGTTTCATGCCATCCAGCGCTCAGAACAGTTCAGGAATAAACTTCGAGGGAAACATATGCCGGGATCTTGGCCATCAGGGGGGATCCTTTCCGGAATCCCGGAAGCATGATTGCTTTTCTCCTTAACATAGTACGTATGCGAGAGATCAACGAGATTTGCAAACCGTGGCATCAAATTTCTATTGAAGTGGGATGCGGGGTATTACTCCACCTTTCTATTTCCTAGAGCGCGAGCATTGTGGCAGCGTAAAGTGAGTTCCGCTTACAAACTAGTGATAACTAGTGCTTGCCGTAGTGACATTCAGTGGAAAAGAAGTATCATTTTCAGCATGAGACCGTTGGATGAGACCGTTTTCACAGGAGTTTGTTTGCACTACCGGCCCTCTTAGGTCCTCTTAGCGACCCAATGGCACGATTGCAATTCATGGTTTGTTTGGAACACACCAGTTTCGGTTTTGCGTGTCCATCAGGTTGTTGACAGTGTCGGGTGGGCTGAGGAGTGGGGTGGGGGGTTAATTGACCTTCGTTTCCCGCGCGACGCAAGTGCCTTGCTTTTCGAAATCATGTGCTGCGTATTGCGCGGGGTCGAAGAAGTGGCAAGAGAATTAATGAGCTGGCAGGAGAAGTCATTTGTCCTTAAGATGACTCGGGCCCCTCGAAGGTGTCTCTAGAACAGATTTTCGTTGATGACATTGGTCCGGGTTTCTTATTCCCTTTTGGAAGGGAATGAATCGACTAAAAGACAACGCTCCCTTTCCTGGTCTCTTTCTGCCTTTGGTCTTTCCTGATCTTCTTCTGATATCATTTGTCTATATAAATCAGCATGCAGCGGTCCATCTAGGCCATGCAAGCGGGTGAACCGCCAGAACCAACCAATGATAAAACGGCTATACAGAGACTGCCGACTACCAAAGGAATGATGCTGCAGGCTGCTAAGCAAAAGTGCATTTGATGGATATCAGAACCAAAGCATGTCCTGCCGTTTGAAGCATCCTGGTAAACATTAACATTTCACAGTAATGATATGTAGTGATTGATTAAACTCTTGAACCATCCATCCCATCAACATATCAATCAGTTGATGCCAGGTCTCTCACATTCTCGTGCGCATGATCCACTGTTTTTGTTTTAACATGTATATAATGTATATGTAAATATTACGTAAAATAGTATGTAGAAGTTCGTATTATAAAAATATATATATACACACGTACATTATATACATGCATGTACGTACTATATACATGTGCATATGCATGTAATGTAATGTCATGTAATGCAATGGTATGTTATGGTATGTAATGTAATGTAATGTATGTATGTATACATGTATCAATGTAGTGTAATGTATGTAATATATGTAATCTATGTAATGTATGTTATGTTATGTTATGTTATGTTATGTAAGTGTGTATGTTTTTTTTGCCTGTTTGCCTGGTTGCCTGTTTGTTTGTTTGTTTGTTTGTGTTTGTATGTAATGCAATGTAATGTACTGTTGTGTTATGTTATATTACCTTATGTTATGGCATGGTATGTTATGGTATGGTAGGTAGGTAGGTAGGTGTGTAGTGTAATGTAGTGTAGTGTAGTGTAGTGTAATGTAATGTAATGTAATATAATATAATATATATAATACAATGTAATGTATGCATGTAATGTAGTGAATGTAATGTAGTGTAGTGTAATGTAGTGTAATGTAATGTAATGCAATGCAATGTAATGTATGCGTGTAATGTAATGTAGTGTAATGTAATGTAACGTAACGTAAGGTGATGTAATGTAATTAATGCATATATGTATGTTTTTTTGCACGTTCTTTTCCGGTGCAACAGGGTGCTCAAGTGAACCATGGTCTCAGATCAGGTGTTTGAGACTCACAAGCGTTCTTCAACTTGGACGTAACGACCACCGTCTCCTCCTGGATGCGTCCTTTCGCTCCACATTTGGAGCATTCGGCCAGGTGTCCTTTCCTCACCATAGTGTGTGAGGAGTGGCCTCTCCACATCCCCGGCGGCAAAGGGCCATACCAGCAGGTCTCTCCCACAAACCTCTCAAAGGCTTGCTCGTTCGTCCTTGCCAGGATGTAGGCCCGACATTGGGTGCAGCGCAGATACGCTTTCTCGAGCTTCAAAAAGTGGATGCCAGTTTGCGGCTTGGACTGCGCTTGGATCAGCTCATGGATGACTGTCATCCTCGGCGTCTTGATTGTCTTCTCCGGGAGCTGAACCGTGCATGCTTCTTGGGTGGCCTGCTTGAGCTCCTGCAACATGCTCTTCAGGTGCACCTTGGTGCGGCATAGACCACATTGAGCTCCACTTCTGTGAGCCTCCCATCGATGTCCTTGATGTTCAGGATTTTGGAGAAGGAGGTGGTCAAGGGCGTGCGCCTTGGCTGTGGACTCTCAGTCTTCTTCTTCGGGAAGTGAGTGGGGTCCCGAAGCAAAAGATCCATCCTTTCAGCCGCATGCAGCAGCACGTCGCCTACGTCCTCATCAATCGCCTTCTGGTAGGTGAGGAAGTCATGGGGCACTTCCGCCTGTGCCCGTGCTTTGGCAATGTCATGGATGGCTTTCTGTAGCCTCCTCCTAGTGACCCTTCCTTCTTCTTGTTAAAAGTGCTTCATGAACGGCAGAGGTCTCAACTGCTCGGAATCTTCAAACTCCAGCCCTTGGTGGAGATCTGGAAAAGCTTCCATGACAACATGAGGCGTCCAGGCTTTCCACACTTGCAAGTTCCCGATTGCCACGTGGGTCCTGTCAAGGATGCGCAGAGCCAAATGCTTGAGGGCGTAGAAGATGGCTCTGGGTTTGGTGGCCTCTCCAGGACAGATGCCAGTGACGGTCGCAACAACTTCCTTGGTGCCAATCTCAAAGATCCCAATGCCAAAGACATATTGCTTGTGTCTTTTGTCGACGCAAGTGGGAACCACATCCAGACAGCAAGCATGGCCATGGTCAACCCTGCACGGCTGCAAAGTGCTCCACAGTCCAGTTCCTTGAAAGGTGGCCTGCCCCCCCATGACGCTCACGAAAGGGAAGTTGGACAAGACCCCGGCGCCACAGTTCAGGATCAGTGTTCTGCTGTACGCGGTCTTTCCTGAGCTCACATCCACACAAGGGGCAAGTGCCTTCAATGCCATGCAGCGTTCTTTGATGGAAAGCTCTGATGGCAGTGGCCAATTTGTCGCTTGTCTCCTTTTGAAGTTTGAGGCTGATGGTCCAGTCCAAGGGTTGCTCAAGGTGTTGACATCCTTGGTACCTGGTGAGTTGGATGAGTCTTTGCCATCGGAATTCTTCCTGAAGCTTCATGTTGAGCGCGGGCCAAGTGTCGTCCAAGGAGATATGACAATCAGGGATGGCTCCATTGCCAATCCGGACCCACTTGCGAGGATCTTGAAGATCAAAGCCATAGTCGAGAAAATAGGCCTGCAAAGCCTGGAGTGGTCCTGTCACTACCTGCCGTCGGTACTTGGCTTGTGTGAGGGCTCCGAAAGCCGCACTCCAACTGGTCACTGGTCCAGAAGAGGCGTTGTTTGCTCTCCTTAAAGCTGTGCAAGATCTTCTGCGCATGCTGCTGGACAATGGAGTCACCAGGGTCAGGGTGCTTGCGGTTGCAGTCGAAGACAATGTCAACGATCCAGTCCTTTGTAGCTTCAACCCCCTGGCCGCCATGACCCGCAGCTGCTGACGGCGTTGAGGTGCCAGACCATTGCATACTGCTGCAAATCTTGGAGCGTGTTCTTATAAGATCGTGATAGACAGCAGCTTCAGGATTGTGGTAGAGGACATTGATTCGAATGGCCATGCGTTCCCAGAAAGCCGGTCTACCTTTCTTCCAAAGTTGGATTTTGCGAGGCCCTTGCAAAGGAGCTGTGAAAAGATCAATCTGCGATCCTCTACCCAACTCGGGCTGCAGAAGCTGTTGTGTGAGATGTTGCTCCGATTGAGTGCACCATCTCGCCAGGTCCGTGCCCAATCCAGTGATCTGGTAATTGAGGATGTACAAGGGGCCGTGTTTTTCGGGGAAGGAGGACCATGACATTGGCGGGTGGAAGGCCTTGCCAATCAGTGGGAAGGTACGGAGTTGCTGAACGGGGATGGCTGCTTGAATGCTGTTGAACATCAGAGCCAAGGCACAATGCGGTCTCCAATTAAGGACCATCCCACAGTGCCTCCAGGTCACAAACTCTATGGAGCTCGCTGGATATGAGGAAGTAGTGCAGCTGGCTTCCTTGCAAGGTGGTGGGCCCATCAGTAGCTTTGATGTGAGCCTTGAACGTGCTTTGGACCACCATGGCAGCCAGGTCAGAGGGAGGGTTTTGTCAATCCCCTCCTATGATGAAAGGTGCCTCAAAATCTCGGCGTTGAGGAGGGATTGAAGGGTTCCCCAGTTGATCCAAGAAAGGAATTCACCTCATTCTGCGCAGTGGTTTTTACCTTTGATACAGGAGTGGTTCCCACTCTGGAAGTCTCCGTCTATCAATTTTGAAACCGTCAGGATTCGATATTGGTAGCGGGGCGCGGGACGATCACCACAGGGCCAAGTTCGTCAAGCACTCCATTCTGTTGAACAGAAAGTGCAGGGCCCACTGGCAATCAACTGTCGTCATTAGTCCCGAGTTTTTGACAATGTTGAGCAGCAGTCGCAAAAAATCGAGCTTCTCTGTCTTGTGCGGCCAGAGGCCAAGCTGAGTCAGCCTCTGCCAAGTTACAACTCCGACAAAGGAGATTCTTGTGGGAACCCGTGAAGGGATGGGATCGAGTTTCGATCGTTGGAAGACAATTTGGAAAGGTGAGTATTGAGGAAAAGGTTGAGGTCGTGGAGAAAGCATTGAAAGTTCAGACTCGTTTTTGGCACGAGCTGAAGTGGTGTGGACAGATCTGCTACTGAAAAAAGTAGATCTAGGTCCAGGCCTACACCACACTCGTTGAATCAGGGGCCGAACAGGGTGGCTCAAAGCTGGAGATGAACAAAGTGGCTGCAGCCATCAGGATGCATTCTTTCAAGAGTAATACTGCAGGCAAACGTGACAAGGGTCTCAAGACCTATGATCAACATG